ACCCCCCACCCCCTGGTGCCGGCCAGGAATCTGCTCCCCCCACCCCTTCCCACCCACCCAGGACTTTCACAAGGTCACGAGAGACACAAGCGGGGAGACCGGTTTGCCGGGAAAATGGCTCTGTACAAGAAGAACGGGCCTTAGTGGCCTGAGTAATACTGGACTCCAATTTCTCAACTGATGCAAATAGATCGCTTGCTGGCGGTGGATGACGATGATTTTCATCGCCGGCATGCAGGAGGCCAAAAATTAATTCCTCTTGTCAGGAATATTACTTCATGAGCAGGAGGTCAACCCTTCCCTTCTGTAGGGAAGTAATCAATGCCTCTGTTCCTTTCAGAGATATAGGTCAGGTTCGCATATATATAGGATGGATCGATTGTTTTTATGACATTTCATCATTGCATAAGGAAGCTGGTTATGATATCCAGCTCATACACATCTCATCAATGTCAGGGATTCGTCTCCTGGTCTGATTGATAGGTTTTTCTATGACATCTTCACACATCATTGTATAGCGAAACTGGTTTGATTTCCAGCTCACATACGTCATACTCGTCACATCTACTTAACGTGCATACATAGGTAGTTGGAGATATCAACACAGCTCTGCATTGGGACGATGGACCCGATTTCTGGCAGATACATTCACATCATTGTACAGGGACGCTGGACCCGATTTCCAGCAGGTGCAGCTCTCCACCAATAGATGGAGCCTTTGACGCCGGGGGGATGCTTTTATCACCTCATTAAGTAGGTTTCCCGTATACGAAGTTAAAAAAAAAAAAGAAGAGAAAAATAAAAAAGAAAAAAGGATGAAGCAACGAATCTGTGATGAGGTTGTCAGACAAAAACATTAAAAAAAAAAAAAAAAACAGGGGAAAGATGGGTCTGAACTTTGAAGCCAAAAAAAAAAGAAAAAAAAAAGAAAAAAAAGTGGGGCCAAGAACTAATCCATCTGGCAAAGGCACATTGATTTTTTTTTATTTTTTTTTTAAACACCTTCACTACCTACCTACCTGAAACCTTTATTGTTTCCCCAAAAACAGGATTCAAAAAAAAAAAAAAAAAAGGAGAGGATAAAAAGAGTCCTACAAAAAAAAAAAAAAAAGTCCTAACAACTGGCCTACCTTCTTCCCATGAATACAACGTGCGGTCATTATATCTGTATTTGGGGTATCTTTCAGTCTAAATACAGCTATAATGACCGTACATTATATTCGGGGAAGAAGGTAGCTCAGTTAGTACACACCCCTACACACCCCTACACACCCCTGCACACCCGTGAATTGTTGAAATACAGGAAATCGAGATTGAACTGCTTTTCTGCGTCCCTGCATAAAACACATCCAGATTCAGGAGCTCCATCCTATCCTTTTTGCTAGTAGGATCTCCCTCCTGGTTCTGACAAGCAGGACAGCTCACACCTGGGGCGAGGTCCCACTAGAAACTCGGAGTGGATTGAACGCCTGAATCTTGCCACGTTTGTGGACAAGTGCAGAAAATCGAGATTGAACTCCTTTTCTGCATCTCTGCCTAAAACACGCCCAGATTCAGGATCTTAATCCAATCCCCGTTGCTAGTGGGACCATGCTCCTGGAGCAATGCCTCTCGTTTCTTTCCCGAAACATCATGTGCGGCAGCCCTATAGAAAAA